TTAATGAAGCATGTGAGCTGACTTGAAGTTACTTATTCTTCTAGACGTACCTCGTCAGGCTTTTGTTTCTAAGAGCCAAACCTTCCGGCACAGTTCTGTCTCTGGAGTTCCTCTGCTGTATCGTTGTTGTTTTGAATGCCCAAGATTACTAGAAAGAATGCAGAAGAAAGAACATAATTTTTTCTCTGTTCAGCTTCATATTATCTCAGTTGTAAGGTTTCTCTCTGAAATACTTGGTTGTTAACTGTTGTAACATCTGAAAGACATAATGCTGTGCGGCTTCATAAAAACTTGATGCAGTAAGGTTAGAGCTCAGTGGAGTATTTGATTACATGCTTAATAATCAGACTAAAACAGTTTGCCTTTGTTGGCAGTGTAATCATGATCTGTATTTAATCAAATTACAGGTGGTGGTTTGTTTAGTTTATATGGGTGGGGTTTTTGGGTTTTTTATCTTCAAGTTGTCGTTTACCTAGAAAGTTGACTGAAAGTGTTTCAGCTAAGCTTCCTTGCATAAGAAGCATTTGTTCGATCTTGTGTGTGATGAGTGGAAGAGGTGTGCCTGTTTTTTTCTTGGAAGTGTGGGGGGTTTGTTAGTTGGTTTGTTTTGTTTTTTTTTTAAAAATAACCCCCTTCTTCTGCTTGTATTCCTAAAGTGAGTATGGTGAATGGCTTTTTCTGTGCTACTGGTTTTGTCATGAGGATAGCATAGCACTTTATTTCTTATTGCCTTGAAATAATATCCTCTTTCAGTTGTCAGACTCGAAGAATCTGTGCACCTTTCCATATTCTCTGCAGTTGTAAATTTTTTTAAGAAAAGGAAAAAAGTCCTTTTGTGTTTATTGTTTTGTGGGGAAAATTTCATTACGTTTGTTTATAATTTCTGTCAAACACATTAGCATTTGTGGTCCCTTAAGTGGTATATCAAGGTAGGCCAAACAAGAGAATAATTTATTTAAAATTAGCTTGAATGAACCTAAGAATCATCACATTATGTGATGTGATGTATGTGGAGATTCAGGCAAATAGCCAAATGCCCTTTGACTTTACAGGTGAGTTTGCATTATTTGACATACAAATCAAACGGCTAAAAGATTTGTAGGGATTGCCAAAAACATATCTTGTCACATGTAGATTGCTGCTGTCTGGTGACAAATGTGTTATTCCAGTAATGACATCATGCAAAATAGCTCTGTGGAAGGGAGGGGACACATGTCAAGACATGTGGTTTCAGCAGTGCTTCACACAGGAATCAAGTGCCCAGAGTTTGAGTCTTCATTCAAAGGTCACCTCTGGGGAAGTAGTTTTCTATTTCAGTTAGCCTTCCAGATTTTCAATATAATTTTTTTTCTTTCAGTGTTTTGCATGTTTAAACTTTAAAAATGTTTTACATTTAATAATTAATGATATAACTAAATGATTTAAAATGCCATTGAATTTGGTATTTGATTGTTAATGTCTGAATAATCCCCACAGGGGGTTAAGCAAGAAGAGTGGTGAAATACAAAAGGGGGGAAATATTGCTTGATTCTGAAAGTGATACTTAGAGATATTCCTGGCACAGGGTTAACAAGCAAATTGCTTAGGGGGAGGAGGAACATTTTGGAAAGAAAGATTTAGAAATATTTTGAGGCTGAGCAGGGTTTAGTAAAGATCTCTCTCTGAATATTATTTCACTCAGACTGCTGAGAAGATTTTCTGGACTGAAGGTACATCTTGTCATTGCATTTTTAGTTCAAGTTTGATGAAAACAAACATAAAGTATTATCTGTTGTGCAAATATCAGGGCTATTTGTTTGAAAATACTGGTGCTGTTTCTGTTGGAGGAGACTGTAGGTATAAGGTATGTAGTAGTAATGGAAAATTTTGTTAAAGGGTAGAAAAGATCATTTTTGGTGGTTGGGATGGCAAATTTCAAATATATTACAGTAAAAGTTAAAATTTACTTACCTAAAGGTTGCCCATGAAGCACATGTTCAGTGAAGCTTTTAATCCAGGTGTAAATAGTCATGTTAGAAAATATGTGCATTAGTAGTAGAAAGTTGTCTTTGTCTTCTGCCTCTTCCCCCCACGCCCATTTCTTCCCTTAATGTTTTTTACAGTATGGGTGAATTTCTGGCTGAGCTGAAATTGAAGTGGTTTTTTTCATCAAATTTTGGTCTCTTAAGTTTGCATTTTCAGGTTTCAGGGTGGTGTCCTACATTTCAAGGTTACATTAAGTCAGATTTTCAGAAGTGATAAGAGGGTTGTGTTTGCTAGTTTATTTCACTGCTTATCCCTAAATACTTTTACAAAGGTTGGTTCATACTAATTTCTGAAGCATGAGGTCCTGCGTAGTATCTCATGTTGGTCACCTGAAAATGAGAATATGAGTCTCTATGTACTGTAATTATTGACCCAAACTTGGCATATGGGCCAGTGTCTTCTTTTTACCTATTGTTCTTGTGGAGCATTTACTTTATAAACAAGCTAATCGATGCTTAGCGTAGACCCACAAACAAACATGTCACCTCTTGGAATGTGCTTGCATTTTTGGCACTTCTTGCTCTTCTGAGAGGTGCTAGTTCAACTGAATAATATGGTGCGATCTTGAAAAAAACTCATAATTCTGTTTCAGTAGTGAATGTTTTCTTGGAAGTAGCCCATAAGGTTTAAAAGCTGGTGTATACACCTCTTCTACCTTTCTTGGTACAGAAACCTAAAAATGTCACAGATAATCTTGTGTCTAAGTTATTTAAAATAACAGGGAAAAGAGTCCTTGTTCTCTTTCATATAAAACAGGGACTACAGTCTGGGGGAAAAACACATTGCTTCAGATGTCTATAAAAGTCATGTCTGTGGTGATCATGATCTTTGAGAGCATTGAGGTTTTCTTTGACTGTAGAGCCTGGTGAGTAGAGAATAGTGCCTTATTATCTATCTTGCGGTGTTAACATGCTTACCCCATAGCCTTTGCTTGGAAAGAGACTGCCTCCTATCAGCTGTGAGGTACCAGGGATGTGCAGTGGATGAGCTCATCAGGTGTCTGTGTTTTTTCAGTCTTAAGTGAAAGAAAGTGACAGAAGGGTAATCTCAGCAATTAGTGGAGTTTAAGGAAGACACTGGGAAGCACGGTAAGTGCTTCTCATGGCCCTTTATAGCCACTTACTATCTTCTGACAGATAGGAATATTGGTGGGTAGGTGTTGGCAGTGAGGTGGCTGCAGGGGCAGCCTCTGTGAGGAGAGGCCAGGTCTGTCCTATCTGTGCTGGACACAGATCAAGTCAGCTCCACAAAACTACTGCAGGGCACGACTGAGCCCCTCGGCCAGGATGGTGGTGTCTCTGGGGAAACATATTTAAGCAAGGGAATAAAAAACCAAAACACACGGGTAGAGGAGAAAGAAGCAAAGAGACTGAGACACAGCAGAAGGAACACAAAGATTGAAGAAGGAGGAGGAAGAGGAGGTGGTGCTTCAGGCACTGGAGCAGAGATTCCACTGCAGTTTGCGGAGAAGACCACAGTGGAGTAGGTATTTGTCTGCGACTGTGTGCCACACTGGAGCTGCCTAATGTTTCCTAAAAGAACTCCAGCCCACGCTGGAGCCCAATGGACGGACCAATGCTGGAGCAAGGGAGATGTATGAGGAAGAAGGAGCAGCAGAAAGGAACTGTTATGGACTGATGTGACTGCACATTCCCATTCCCCATCCCTGCTGGGCTGCTGAGTGATGGGGAGGAGGTGGAGCAGTCAAGAAGTAAAGCTGAGCCTGGGGAAAGGTGGGGGGGAGGAAGAGCAGTGTAAAGGGAACGTGTTGTTTTAACTTGTCTTTGTTTCTCAGTATCCAAATGTATTTTAATTGGCAGTAAATTCATTTTCCCCAAGTCAAGACTGTTTTGCTAGTGCTGATAATTACTAACATAGCTCCCTGTTTTTATCTCAACCCACTGCCTCTTTCACTCTTGCATTTTGTTTTCTCCCTCCTCCTGTTGAGGGGGAATGGGAGATCCGCTGGGTGGGCATCAGGCAGTCAGCCAAGGTCAATCCACCACAGCTGGTTCTTTAAAGCTAATTATTTTGCAAATAAATAGACAAAGGTTTGGGATGTGAGGCAGTTCTTGTACAGAAAATCTAAGATCACAGACTCTACTGGTAAGTATGTCTAAATGGAAGTAGTTAGGCAGATGGAGTGAATATTAACAATAACCATCTTGGCAGGTATACCTATGTATATTTACATAGATAGATGAGGTCATTTTCATAGTTCCCTGATCCTAAACACTCAAAGTGTTGTATAGGATCCTTCCTGGTTTCTACTAATTTTCTCTGGTGTCATGGTCCTTTACACATTTTTCTAAGGCCAAAGGTAGACAGTTTAAGTTGGGATGGGGTAGAGACTTACAGCTAGCTACCTGTCAGCATCCCAAGACCTTTGCCAGGAGTAATGATGATTATAAAAGAAGTTTCTTGCTCTTCTCCGACAGGAGGCACTTAATGTTGATTCTTTCTTCCAGCTCCATCTTAGAGTCCACTTGGGTTTGTTTTTACGCACTTTCTTACCATGCTCTGCCTATATGTCTTTTCATTGGTTCTCAATTACTTAATTATTTTATTCTCTTTATTGCTAAAGTTTAACTTTTATTTGAACAAGGCTCTTATGTAGTGAGTATGAGATGTGTGTGTGTGGTTTTTGTTGCTTTAGATTTTGAGCAACATTTTCTACATAGGTATCTTCTTCCTTTTTGAGGTTATACTTGCACCTTGCCTTTTGTGGAAAAAATGGTACCTAGGAGCTCACATCTGTGACTGATTCTTATCCTTGAGAGGTTTTTCCCTTTGCCAGGATTTAAGAATTGGAAGTCTTAAGAAATATTCTGGCCACATATGCATTTTTACTGTAAGCAGGCAGCTAGTACTTCCTTTCATTATCCACAATTCACCAGCAGGTAGAAAAGAGGTAATCTGTGATTTGCATGGCCTCTGAGAGCTCAAGTAAGCTATTCAAATATGGAAGTAAGTACTTGTGTAGTCTGACGACATGAATTCCCCTCAGGAACTTGCCAGGTTTTCTGTAAGTTGTCCTGTTTCTGCTCATACCTGTGTGTTTATGCTCATATTCAGAACACATGGCTTGCACTTTATTGCATTTTATTGGTTTTGTGCATGTGGGAAGAACTGTATGTTCCAATTCTTCTTAGGCTCTTCTAACATTTCTTACTACTCAGCAACTGCTGTGAAAGGGAGAGTTGCAAGGTAGAATCAAGAACTTGAGCTGCAGAAAATATGTGGTCGGTTGGTTGGATAACTTTTCTTGGCATGAGTATAAAATGTCTACTGTATGCAGTTTTTAATAGGCCATCTCTTGAAGTGATTGAGCAGTTTGCTGTGGCTGGCTGAAATCAGTGAGCTCTGTAAGAGTCTAGAAAATTCTACTTTGTTTATATGCTTCCACCACTGGCTCTTGTACGTTGCCCACCCTGTAACCTTCCTCCATTTGACCCTTTCTTCTTGTAGATGAAGAAATGGGACATTAGAGGGATAAGAATTAAGTATTTGAGCCTTATTTTCACTTGAAATTGGGGACAAGAGCAATATTTGACCCTAAGATTAAAGCTGTAACTAGCACTGGTTTTAGTAGCTGTGGTTTGCAGAGCTTGTATTTTCCTCAATTGTTGTTGGGTTTTGTGTTTGTCAGTGTACTTGGATTTGCATCTAGAAATGTATCTTAAATCTGAATGGCACGGAGAGATTGTGTAATGCAGCATAATTGCTAATTGAATATTAGTATATACAAGCCATTTGGTTTTTTTTTTTTAGTTTTCCTCTGATTCCAGCACATGGAAACTTGTCAGCATTGTTATGGACAGTACTCTAAAGTGCAGAGTTTTCAATCCTAAGTGTGCAAAATTATCTCAGTCACAAAGGACTATTTAGCAAGAAGGGTTGTTGTTTGTTTTTGCTTTTTTCCTCTTTGCTTAATTAGATTTCTTTTTTTAAACATGGACATGCAAAAGAGTTTGGTAAAGTTCCTATCTTCAAGCTTATCAGGGCAAATGCAAAGGATATCTTTTTGTCTAGGTTAGAAATTATTTGGCCTGTCTTCTAAATGCCCATAAATATGGCAAATGCAAAAAATGCAAACTGCACTTAATACAGGATTTCACCATTCTGAAAGACTTCTTTACTAATGCTTTCCTCTCCTTCACCCGATCCTGTGTCATTTTCAGGTTTCAGACTGGTTGCTTGCCATAAAGGAGATCCTTCCAAGTGTTGCTGCTCTTCAGGTCTTGATCTCTTGCTTTCAAAGCAGAATTGTTACATATTTGAGTCTGAGCTGTACTGTTTATGAGATTTTAAAGAATAGAGACTTGAAGTGCATCATCTGGGAGAGTCACACTCACTAAACCTTGCTGACTCATATTCTTGGATAGCTTGGCTATTATGCATGTATGTGGTTATGCATATGAATATGGAAAATTACCCCTTTATATCACCTCATGCATTTGGTTTGAGAAGTCCATACCTATGCCTACCTCAGTCTACTATGTTTAAGGAAAAGTCGTCTTTAAGGCTTAGGATCTTGCAAACAATATAAAATTGCTTCTCTTTTCCCCCTGTTCCTTTAAAAGAGTGCAGGCAGACTTGCCTCTGCAAGGGCCTTAATTTAAACCTTACTCTTATTTTCTCTGGGTCTGACAACATCATTATTCTCTCTGCCTCAATTCTGGACTGACACAGGGCTCTCTATGGACACAACTGCTGCTGAACAGACTAAGGTGAACAAGACAAAGAAAAGAATATGAGGTAAAATGTTTCCTTTCATTAAAAGCTTTTGTACCATTAGACCTTCTTCCTTTGACCCCTCAGCCTGGTGCATAGGAAGGCATTTGGCCCTCTAGAATTGATCAATGATTTATTCAGAGCCCTGTGTTTATACTGCTTTATGTATTTTTTCAGAGATTAATTAACTTAAGATTCCCAATTACACCAGCACATTACAAAACACATTGGTCCACCCTTGCAGCAGTAGCACTAGAAGGTTGTAACAAGAAATGTGCTGTTTGAGGCTGGAAAGATTGAAGGTTTCACAGGACAGTTTCTCAAGGGCTACTTGAAAGTACCTCAAAAAGCAATTACAGCCCCAGTTTGTGGCATTTGTAATGTGATATTAAAAATTTGGAACCTTGTCCTAAAGAATTCTAAAATCAACTTGTTTGATAATGAATTGCAACATGGCATGTTTGAATATATGTTCCTTCTGTAGAGATGATTACATTTATAACAGACAATATAAAGAGGGTTCATTTTTCCTTCATGGTGACATATTCAACTTAACATAGAGAACTTTTTTCCCCCCCTTGAATGAAGTAGAGTGAAACAAGTAACAATTAAGATTTTTTTTCCTCTTATAAGTATATATTGCTCTTATACACCTAGAGAACACCTGGCAAACATGTAGGAATATTTGAGATATTTGCCTCCCAGTGCTAAAGCAGCAGCTACATCCTGAATTTTTCAAGCAGTAACATTGGGATTTTTTAATCTTAGGTAGCTACCAAAACTTCCCAGGTGACCACTGTCTAACATTGTGGTAATATCAGTGGTCCATTATAAAGAATCTGTAAAGTATTC